CCACATAATTGCCTATTTGAAAAAAAGCTGTTTTTTATAAACAAGGAATCTATTATATTGACACAAGACAGCCCTGTTTCTTTAATTAATAAAAGGCTTGAAACCTGACATCCACTTGGTTGCACAGAAAGAAGGCAGTGGTAAATACTCAAGGATAGTCCATAATTAATAGCTTAAGAAAAGCCATAATGAAATAAAACCGTTTATAAGAATTTATCTCAGGTATAAGTTGCATTAAAGGACCTTATGATCTCTGTATTTATTAATATTAGCACTATAAAGGAGTGTATGGTTCTGGTTTGTAGCAAATTAGTTCCATGGTAAAAGCAGAAGAACATAAATCCAGTAATTTGATAAACACATTCCCCAAAATAGCTTGTATGGTGTATCTATAGATACTGGTTTGAAATTAGTTGAAAATTTTTAAATGAAAGTCACAGTAGAAATATCATACATATTAGAAAAGTATCCTTTTCCTATTTCAAGGGAATAAACAATTTTTTTTCCTGTTGATCAAATATATTTTAAAACTATGAGAAATAGTGATCATTAATAAATGACACTGCATTTCCATTTGACTATTGTACTTGAGGAACCAAACTAAGTCAACCATTTGAAACAGATTTAAAACATAAACTAATTCAAATATTTGATAATTATTCCTCTGTATTGTGTTGGCATTATACATTATACATTAATTCTTATAAATGTTACCAACATTTTGTAATGGGTAATACTTTTTTTAAAAATTGATTTTCATCTTGTTTCCAATTACAGGGTTTCAGCATCAAACACATGCAGAAGAAACTCAGAACCAGCCATTCAACAGTCTGCACCTATTTTCATTCATGGCTCTAGCTCTGAATGTGGTGATTGTGGTCATAGTCATAACGAGGCATTTTGTAAATCAACGGGCAGACTACAAATACCAGAAGCTGCAGGACCATTAGCTGATGGGTGCAGCCCTAAGTTATTTCTCCTGGATGCCACAGGATGTGGTACCGCGTGCCTACATACATCATGAATAAATTAGGAGAGGTCTGAAAAAGTAATACTCAGGCCTTCATGTCACCACGTCAGTGTGTTTCATTACAGGATGATTGAACTGAATAAACAATGTGCCAGTTGGCTCTCATTTTAGGCACCAAAATATTACATGAATTAAAACACCTCTTTCATAAGCATAAAACATTGTAAACAAATATTAGGTGAAAAGAAAAGGGTTATTTTTTACTTGAGTAGTCTTCAGAGTTCGATGTGTTTAAGTTTTAGATGTAAAAGTTAGAATTTCTGAAACTGGAGTGTGAAAGGAAGAATTGTAATCTCCTGGATCCTCGTGCCTTACTGGTTTAACGCACAACCTCAGCTCTTCTCACCTTCAGCATTTCAGGAAAGACCTTTGGATAGAAGAATGCTACTGTAAAATGAGAAACTTCATACTGTTTCCGGATAAAAACATTTCTCCTCCCTTTCACCATAAAGCACCAAAGCCAAAGGTCAATTGTCCTAACAAGTGCCAAACATTGGCTCTAATCACCTTAGATAAATAATACAGCTTTACCTCATCATCTCAGAACACACAGTTTCAGGTTCTATGCAGTCAAACAGGTAACCACATGCCCGAATGCCCCAAGGCATTCTCCTTCACTTCTGTAAACATGCATTGCAGGTCCAGATGAATATGATAGAAGTTCCACCCTCACAGAACAAGTCCTTAGGGGCTTGATTGATTTTTCCAGCTCCAAATCAAAACAGATCTTCCTCATTTTTTCTTTTTTTAGTATCTCCTGTAGATCTCCCAAATATCCCTTGTGCGCTGACTCTCCTCTATTTTCATCCATGTAGCCTAAATTGGACTATTGCAAACTTCTTTTTTAACCTAACACAAAAACGCCTAAAAATTTACTTAGAATGGGCAAATCACATCAAGTACTTAAAAACAGCACAACTGTCTGGTCTGGCTGCTGCCCTGCAGCCATCTCTCTGTCAGGAACTGACTGGACATTCTCTGCTGGCCAGCATGGCCCGTGTTCAGAGGCACATCAGGTGTGAAAGTGGGGTACGAAGAGAATCGTCGCACACTGTGACTTGAAAGAGGGGGAAAAATTATTACCATGAATCAAAAAAGTCTTTTGTAGTGGAGATACTGAGACATACCAATGCATTTCCAGTATGCATGCTACTATTTGTAAGTTTTTTCTTTAGGAAGAACTACAGAGAAGTGATGAAAGGTCCTGGACCTGGAGTTGGTGGCCTGGGTTCTAGTTCTTCCACCTTACCTGGTGGGTTACATTGGCCAGGTCACCTTCAGCCATGGCCTGTATGATTTAAAACAGGGGTTGTTTAGCAGCTATCACACCCCTGGGGGGCGGTGGCAAAGATTAAACAAGAGGATATGCTAGCAGTCAGGGCCATCCACCTTCCACTTACCACGAGTGATGAGTCCTCACTGCCAGCCTCAGAACCCCATTGTAGAATCTGCTTCTAATCTGCTTGGGCCACACCTGGTAGTCCCTGTCATAGGTCAGGTTCCTGGGAAACAGACTCACATAGGCTTGGCTACAGGAGGTTTCTTGGGGAGTGCGTGAGGTGGGAGGGGAGCAGTACTGGGCAGGAAGTCAGTGCACCATGAAGCAACAGTAACTGCCCAGCCAATCCCTCAGGGAGTCCTGGGTCTGAGCCAGTTGCATGCCCCATTGAGGCATTGGTGCTCAGACTTTTCAGTACCTCTGTGAGCCAGTCATTGGTTGAGGGCTGCCCAGGGGTGGGGGGCTAGGAACTTGGACAAAGCAACTGTCTTGAGCTGAGAGAAATTCCTAGAGAGCAGTGGCACTGAGAACCATCAGCTGCCAACACTCCCAGCAGCCTAGAAAATGAGGGACTCCATCTGAGGGGACATCTGGGTGTCAGCCCAGAGCAGTCACTATACTCAATTCCTAAAATAGCAGGACTTTCAGGATGTTTCACAAAGCAAAATCCAACTCTATGTTGTATTCAAGACACATACTTAACAAGGTGTTTTGGAAAGGCTACAGAGGGATGGGCAGTGGAGTATCAGGCATGTAGAGACTAGAGGGGAAGGGGCTGGAATCCAGGCTACCCACGTGGCCTCTGCTGCCTTGAGGGGTAGGGTCTCCTCCTTGCTACTGGGCAGGGGTAAAAGTCCTGGCTCTCCACTGGGCCTCCTCTGACCAGCACAGAATGAAAGGGGTGCCTCATCCCTTCCAAGTAAGGGTAGAAACGGAAGACCAGGCTCCCCTCACCTGGTCTGCACCTGATGTGGGGTGTAGGGGAGGGAAGAGGCACTGGGGGAGAGATTAAGCTCCCCACCCAACTTTTGCTGGCTAGGGTAGAGTGGGGCCACAGTGTTTCCCATGGTGTTTGGCTGGAGCAGGGCAGTTGTAATGGAAACTTTTCTGTCTGGCTAGGTTTGCCCTTTGCTGGTCCTTTGACTAGAAAGAGAAGGCTTTTCTTGGGTCTTTTTGGCCTGCACCCTTGGTGCTTTCCAACTGCAGGCTTCTCCCTGTTAAGTGCACTTTGATCCATTGGTATGTGATGCTGAACAGTAAGTGGCCACGGCGTTCAAATGTCAGTGTTCCTAAGAATCACCTGGATTTGGGGAGGGCTTCTTCCTTGATCCCGTGCCTTGAACCACACTAGGAGGAACTTACCTGGAAGTTTGTTTGGACCCTATTTATTTATTACAATGTTAGTTCTTTCATCATCAATACTTTTCACATTAGGGATTTGTTAAAAGTTATACATTGCTAGATTTCGGTAGCCATTAACCTCCACCTTCTCAACATGCCATGGTAGGTGCAGCAAATGGGCAGATGAACTTTCGAAAGCAGAAACTTGAGCAGCCAACAATTACTTGGGAAAAACCCTTTATTCATTTGAAGCACTTTCATGAAATAGACACCAGATGCTAAAATTGTTTCATGTGACTGAAGATGAAGCTACTCAGGGATAAATAATTAACTTTGATTTAAAAGATAACCTTTCCACCAAATTGGCCAATAAGCACATTTCAGAGATTTCTACGTGTAAGCAGGAAACTTCATCAAAATAAATATCAATATATTTTACTAAGATAGTTGTCAATGAAGGGCATTTGTAATGAAACTGAGATGTTCCCTCTCAGAAGCTACTTCCTTCCTTGAGTCATTTGTCAGATTTTCATCTCTCAGGACATCAGGGTTGGCTCCCAGGCCCCCCCAAACTCTGCTCTCCTCCCGGGGTACCTGATAATACCACAGTCCCATCTTGTACATGCTATTTATGGACAAAGAGTAGAACAGTTTCTTGGAGATAAGGACTCTTCTTTTAAATATTGCTACTGAATATTTATCGATAAGCAAAAATAAAAATCTGACTATTTCAAGTCTATTTCTTTAAAGGCAACTTTGAGGGTAGTGAGTCTAGCACAGGTCTCTTTCTGTTAAGGTAGAAAGAGAGATTAAAGTAGGTGCTCTCTCCTTTTCTTGGAAGACATTGGAATGTGCTAATCTTTCCTTGTTTGCTTTTCAGGTTTTGTGTGTACTTTTTGGGTTTCCTTGAATGTTTTGAGGATCTGGGAAACAGACTGAGAACATGACCACATGAGCACCTGGTAGCTCAAAGAGTAGATGTGTGGTTCTTGCGATTGTATTTCAGCCTTTCTTATTTGTAAGCTACAACCTAGACCCAACAAAGCCTGGGTTCAATTTATTCCCAATGAAACAAAGCAATTAAAGCTTGTTCTGATGAGTAAATGACATGTTTGATTCAACCAACCAGTTATTAGACTTAAAAAAAAAAGAGCAGTGGCATCCTGACAGTTTATTTTTCATAAGACTCTTTGCAAAATCTGAAAATAAATTCTTATACCACCAGAAGGACAGAAACAGATTCACCCACTAGCATCTAAACATTAAGAAGTCAAATTAAAAAAAATCTTTAAATTGGCAATGGCATATAGAGAGATAACTCTTCTCTTTGTAACATTTTGTACACTTTAAGACAACGATCAGGTTTTTGATAGTGAAGAATTAGAAAATGCAGCATTTCTAGCCATCGGAGACAGTGACTGCCTTAGAAGTTTAGTAATCAGAGATTTATTTAGTGACAAACCTGAGAGAAGCAATCTCCTCCAGTTGTTTCTTTTACTTGTCTCTACGTAGATAACTTCTGATTTGTCAAACATTACTAAAGACAAATTAGTCTTTGCTTTCTAATTTCTAACAGATTCATGTGAAAATTGGATAAATCACACAACAGTCTTGCCCTGAGCAGTTAGTTTGTGGATCTCCAGTGGCCCCACCAGTTGGAAATGCTCAGTCTGCCGTTCCATGGGCTCCACGGCACCTGCATCTCTCCTGCTCCGCCCTGCACAGCCCTGGGAGCAGCGAGAGGAGTAGTCGCCCACCTTGCACACGGTGAGCTTACACTGCAGGTAGACCACATTGTAGCTGTCAAGAAAGCTGAAGGCGTTGAACTTGAACTGAACCACATTCTTCTGGCGGGAGTGGAGATTGGCATAGGAACTTTCTTTGATGCACCTGGTGGAGAGGAAAACCCCAGACCAAAAAAATTAAATCATGGTGTGAATTCATTCTGACCCAGATAATTAGGTGTGGACACAGACTTCTGAATACCAAATGGAGTTCTCCCTACTACCCAAACACTACTATGGGTGAAAAACCATGATTCCTGGCCAGAAATAGAAGGAAACTGTAAAATAAACACAATAAATGCAAAGCAAGGTAATTAAGTTCTAGCTAGAACTCTTGCCTTCATAAGGCCTATTCTATTTTGTCCAAAGGGGAAATTAGAAGTGGTGGTTATATTATTTGAAAGTGAACTTAGATTATTTAAAAATGTATATTGTAAATCCTAGGGCAATCACCAAAAAAGTTAAGGAAATAAGTATAGATGATGGATTGAGAGGAGATAAAATGGAATCATAGAATATATTTGATTAAAACCAGAGAAAGTGGCAAAAGAAGTGTGGGGAGAAACAAAGAACAAATGCAATGAATAGAAAACAGTTACTTTCATTTTCACTGTAGTTAGCTAAAAAGAAAAAAAAAAACAGTTACTGAGGTGGTAGATTTAAATACAGCTATATCAATAATCACTTTATTATTTTTTTTATGAAATTTGTCTGAAATTAATATAGCTACTGCAGCTTTCTTTTGATTAGTGATAGCATGGTATCTTTCTCAATACCTTTTAATTTATCTGTGTCTTTATTATTATTATATTTTTTTAGACATAGTCTCACTCTGTTGCCCAGGCTAGAGTGCTGTGGCATCAGCTTAGCTCACATCAACCTCAAATTCCTGGGCTCAAGCAATCCTTCTGCCTCAGCCTCCTGAGTAGCTGGGACTACAGGCATGTGCTACCATGCCCGGATAATTTTTTGAGACAGAGTCTCACTCTGTTGCTGGGGCTAGAGTGCCATGATATCAGCCTAGCTCACAGCACTCTCAAATTCCTGGGCTCAAGCAATCCTTCTGCCTCAGCCTCCCAAGTAGCTGGTACTATAGGCACATGCCACCATGTCCGGCTAATTTTTTCTATATATTTTTTAGTTGTCCAGCTAATTTCTTTCTATTTTTTTAGTAGAGACGGGGATCTCCCTCTTGCTCACGCTGGTTTCAAACTCCTGACTTTGAGCGATCCTCCTGCCTGGGCCTTCCAGAGTGCTAGGATTACAGGTGTGAGCCACCACACCCATCCAGATGATTCTAATGTATAGACAGAGTTGAGAACTATCAGTTTAGCCTTGTTTCTCAACTAAAAAGCTTTAAGAGTCAGGGACCCTATATTTTCAATATTAACCTTTTCTGCACATGGAAAGCAATGTCAGACATGGTTGCTCAATAAACCATTACAAATTTACTGGAAATGGTTGCCTGTGTACCTGTGATTAGCATCAATAGTTATAATACTCTTTTATGCCGTATCATAGGGTTGTCATTAGTCACATATGGCTATCTAAATTTAAACTTTAAGTAAGTTAAAAATTCAATTCCTTGATTTGACTAACCACATTCCAAGTACTTAATAGCTATAAGTAGCTACTAGCTAATATATCGGGCAGTGCAAATATAAAATGCTTCCATCTATTAGAAAAATCCATCTATTGGACAGAACTTCTCAACAAAGACAAACTTTCTTACCCTAAAGCTACTGAGAGAGGTATCAAGGATGGGAACTCCTTCAAAGGACAAAGATTTTAAGATTCAAATGCCACATGAATGTGTTGGCTTATACCATTATAATAATTTATAAATGTACCAACATTTTTAATGGTATACTTTTTTTAAAATGATTTCATCTTGTTTCCAATTACAGGTTTCAGCATCAAACACAGCAGAAGAAACTCAGAACCAGCCATTCAACAGTGCATCTATTTCATTCAGTGCTCTAGCTCTGAATGTGTGATTGGTCATAGGCATAACGAGGCATTTGTAAATCAACGGACAGATACAAATACCAGAAGCTGCAGACCATACTGATGGTGGCAGCCCTAAGATTTTCTCCTGGTGCCAAAGGATTGGGACGCGGGCCTACATACATCATGATAAATTAGGAGAGGTCGAAAAAGTATACTCAGGCCTTCATGTCCACGTCAGTGTGTTTCATTACAGGATGATTGAACTGAATAAACAATATGCCAGTTGGCTCTCATTTAGGCACAAAATATTACATGATTAAACACTCTCATAGCATATAAACATTTTAAAAATATAGGTGAAAGAAAGGTATTTTTTACTTGAGTAGTCTTCAGAGTTCGATGGTTTAAGTTTTAGATGTAAAGTTAGAATTTCTGAAACTGGGTGTGAAAGGAAGAATTGTAATCTCCTGGATCCTCGTGCTTACTGGTTAACGCACAACCTCAGCTTCTCCTTCAGATCTTCAGGAAAGACCTTTGGATAAAAAGAAGCTACTGAAAATGAGAAACTTCACACTGTTTCTGGATAAAAACATTTCTCCTCCCTTTACCATAAGCACCAAAGCCAAAGGTCAATTGTCCTAACAAGTGCCAAACATTGCTTATCACCTTAGATAAATAATACAGCTTTACTCATCATCTCAGAACACACAGTTTCAGGTTCTATGCAGTCAACAGGTAACCACATGCCCGAATGCCCAAGGATTCTCCTTCATCTTGTAACATGCATTGCAGGTCCAGATGAATATATAGAGTTCCACCCTCACAAACAAGCCTTAGGGCTTGATTGATTTTTCCAGCTCAAATCAACAGATCTTCTCATTTTTTCTTTTTTTAGTATCTCCTGTAACTCCCAAATATCCTTGTGCACTGATCTCCTCTATTTTCATCCATGTAGCCTAAATTGGACTATTGCAAACTCTTTTTTAACCTAACACAAAACGCTAAAATTACTTAGAATGGGCAATCACATCAAGTACTTAAAACAGCACAACTGTCTGGTCTGGCTGCTGCCCTGCAGCCATCTCTCTGTCAGGAAACTGACTGGACATCTCTGCTGCCGCATGGCCGTGTTCAGAGGCACATCAGGTGTGAAAGTGGGTACGAAGAGAATCGTGACACTGTGACTTGAGGGGGAAAATTATTACCATGAATCAAAAAGTCTTTTGTATGGAGATTACTGAGCATTACCATGCATTTCCAGTATGCATGCTACTATTTGTAAGTTTCTTTAGGAAGAACTACAGAGAAGTGATGAAAGGTCCTGGCTGGAGTTGGTGGCCTGGGTTCTAGTTCTTCCACCTTACCTGGTGGTTACATTGGCCAGGTCACCTTCAGCCATGGCCTGTATGATTTAAACAGGTTGTTTAGCAGCTATCACACCCCTGGGGGCGGTGGCAAGATTAACACAAGGATATGCTAGCAGTCAGGCCATCACCTTCCATTACCACGAGTGATGAGTCCTCATGCCAGCTCAGACCCCATTGTAGAATCTGCTTCTAACTGCTTGGGCCACACCTGGTAGCCCTGTCATAGGACAGGTTCCTGGGAAACAACTCACATAGGCTTGGGTACAGGAGGTTTCTTGGGAGTGCATGAGGTGGAGTGAGCAGTACTGGCAGGAAGTCAGTGACCATAAGCAACAGTAACTGCCCAGCCAATCCCTCAGGGAGTCCTGGGTCTGAGCCGTTGCATGCCCATGGGCATTGGTGCTCAGACTTTTCAGTACCTCTGTGAGCCAGTCATTGGTTGAGGGCTTCCCAGGGTGGGGGCTAGGAACTTGACAAAGCAACTGTCTTGAGCTGAGAAATCCTAGAGAGCAGTGGCACGGAACCATCAGCTGCAACACTCCGCAGCCTGGAAATGAGGACTCCATCTGAGGGACATCTGGATGTCAGCCCAGAGCAGTCACTATACTCAATTCCTAAAAGAGCAGGATTTCAGGATGTTCACAAGCAAAATCCAACTCTATGTTGTATTCAAGACACATACTTAACAAGGTTTTGGAAAGGCTACAGAGGGATGGGCAGTGGGTATCAGGCATGTAGAGACTAGAGGGAAGGGGCTGGAATCCAGCTACCACGTGCCTCTGCTGCCTTGAGGGTAGGGTCTCCTCCTTGCTACTGGGCAGGGTGAAAGTCCTGGCTCTCCACTGGCTCCTCTGAGCAGCACAGAATGAAAGGGGTGCCTCATCCCTTCCAAGTAAGGGTAGAAACGGAGACAGGCTCCCCCCACCTGGTCTGCACTGATGTGGGGTGGGAGGGAAGAGGCACTGGGGGAGAGATTAGCTCCCCACTCAACTTTTGGCTGGTAGGTAAGTGGGCCACGTGTTTCCCATGGTGTTTGGCTGGGGCAGGCATTGTAATGGAACTTTCGTCTGGCTAGGTTTGCCCTTGCGGTCCTTTGACTAGAAAGAGAAGGCTTTTCTGGGTCTTTTTGGCCTGCACCTTGGTGCTTTCAACTGCAGGCTTTCCCTGTTAAGTGCACTTTGACATTGGTATGTGATGCTGAACAGTAAGTGGCCACGGCGTTCAAATGTCAGTGTCCTAAGAATCACCTGGATTTGGGAGGCTTCTTCCTTGATCCGTGCCTTGAACCACACTAGGAGAACTTACCTGGAAGTTGTTTGGACCCTATTTATTATTACAATGTTAGTTTCATCATCAACTTTTCACATTAGGGATTTGTTAAAGTTATACATTGCTAGATTTCGTAGCCATTAACCTCCACCTTCTCAACATGCCATGGTAGGTGCAGCAAATGGCGATGAACTTCGAAAGGAGAAATTGAGCAGCCCACAATTACTTGGGAAAAACCCTTATTCATTGAAGCACTTTCATGAAATAGACACCAGATGCTAAATTGTTTCATTGTCTGAAGATGAAGCTACTCAGGGATAAATAATTAACTTGATTTAAAGATAACCTTTCCACCAATTGGCCAATAGCACATTCAGAGATTTCTACGTGTAAGCAGGAACTTCATCAAAAATATCAATTATTTACTAAGATAGTTGTCAATGAAGGGCATTTGTAATGAACTGAGATGTTCCCTCTCAGAAGCTACTTCCTCCTTGAGTCATTTGTCAGATTTCATCTC